GGGGAAAAACCCCCTTGATCCGTGCCACTTACGCCGTTTATGAATTGTTGCAATGATTAAGTACATTTTCATCAAATTAATACCATGGTTTCCACTACTTGTGCTAATACTATGTCCGAACATATCAGTGGCGTACACTTTACCTCGAAAATAAATTTAATAAATTTTATTTGAAGAATGGTTTAACAAAAAATTTTTTTAATATTTTTTTCCAGCATGTTCTCATTTGATACCACAAAGGATAAAATTTCGTCGGTCTATATAAGAATCACCCTGTATGTAATTTTAAATAAAATATTTAAGTTAATAATAATAGTATATTAAAAAACAAGTGATACAAGTAGTTTGTGATACGAGTATCACAATGAGAGGTTTAACACGTGATTCTCATTCTATTTTTTCTATTGAATTTTATACAAGTGTTACGTTACTCATGCATTTGTAACACTCGCCACTGCGTCCCTCGTATCACAATGGGAGTTTTTTATACTATTTTTTTACTGAGCGTTTTTTAAATTGAATTTATTATGATATTTGACTGTTTATATTTTTGACATTTGACATATGCGGTATCCAAATTGCTCTAAAACAGCTGAATTTGTATTAGTTTCGGTGAAATATGTTGAACTGCAACAATTTCTCACTTAAAAACGATAGACTATGACCGTGATAACCAAAGTATTGCATAAAATGTCGTCAAAAACAGTGTCATATAATTGCATTTTTTCCAATTTGGTTGTGATGCCTATGTTTTTCACAACCAAATTGTAAAAAATCTTGTATGAAACAATGAAATGAAATGAAAAAAAAAACAAATGAAATCTTGTATGAAAACGATGAAAAATGGCTGTTTTTGCTCACGACGTGTTGGAATCTTTTCGTCTAGTCCAAAAACACGTTCATTTTGCAACTTATTGCATAACTAGCTATTATGCAACTGTTTTTAGTTACACAAAATGCTCATTGTGACACCGAAATAAAAAAAATAGATTTTATAGATTTTCCGTTTCATTATATTGATTTTATGAATTATTATTTAGTCTAACCGGTTGTTTTCCTCTCTTTTTAACAAAAAACAAAAATTTGAAACAGAAAATGGAATTCAGCAGTTTCTACAAAATTCGTCAAATTGACTAGAGATTCAATTATTTTTCTCTCGGGTAAGTAAAACAAACTGAAGGAAATTATTTATAAACAAGAAATGTTTCAATTTACTTGATCGCTATGGACTTGTTAAACCTTTACATCCGATTTAACTTTATTGCGTACTCCCTAAAGCGTATAAAGGAAAATTTTATTTACGTAAATTCGCAAATTACTTCCAATTTTCTAAACATCAAAAACATTTCGTTTAGTAGAATTTTAAAATAATCGCGACTATACATCAAATGTCATTTTTCTACTTTGTAAACACATTATTTCAGTATAACTTGCATGCAGAACGATTTCTTATCGATGTTTGTGTTATACAAAATCAAACAATGTCTTTGTGTGATATATTGTGACAAGGGTTACAAATGTAAACTGTTGAACTACTGACACAAAAGTAAAAGATGGATTTAAGAAAAATATATTGCGTATAAATCATGAAAAATTATCCTTGCTAGACCAAATTTTATAATTAATGACTTTGCTTTTACCGGATTATTGTTGCAACGTTGCAGGAAGCGATGCAAAACCGGGGTAAATAAGGGAGCACCTCGTAAATATTTCAAGCGCTCCTTCGGGAAACCGTATCCTGATGTATTGGTCAAGCAACCGAACTCTACACTCGGACGACTTAGTGATTAATTTCCCGGAAGTTTCCACTGACAAATTAGTAGGGATAAAGCCTCCATTGAAAAATTTATCAGTCGCGGACGAGAATTTAAAAGTTTTAATAAGGTGGTCAGATGTTCAACAGGTTTCGTTGGTTAATTGAAATTTTTACTTAATAATAAAAAGATAAAAAGGAGTATTGGGAGGAAAAGTCTCATCAATCATAAACAGGGGATTGTACAGGTTTCAAGTCTAAATAAATTACGGTTTTGGCGGAGTTATGCTTGCAAGCAGTATTGTGAACGATAAATCTAAAACGGAAATCTAATGCATTTTCATTTCGGGAAATCGACTGGATTGCAGATAAGTTGGATTAGGTTTCAGGTTGCGGCGGAAAAATGCCGCATCCTTAATCTAGAGGGCACAGGAAACGTCCTTGAAAAATCGAGCATTTATGGACAGACTTTAACTATGAGTTTGTGAATTTTCAAGTGGAAAACAAAAGTATGTTGGGTAAAAAATTGGGTATAAAACGTAGCCTTGGGCGATGAGTAATTGCATTTCGGTGTCGATTTCAAAATGCCCACTTTGTAACCGTTTTGTGACATTTATCTCGACAAATTACGCCATACGAAACAGACAAGCGAGACACAATGTCAGTAGTGATGCTAATGAATGTAAATGGACGATATGACAGATGTTTCGTGTCGCTGAATTAATAGAATATGAGAGAAACCGTGTCGGGTGGAAAGTACAAGTAGATGCGATTGAAAGATGTGGTAAAAAATTTCAAAATCAGCATATTTTTCACGAAATCAATGCAAGCGTGAGGGTCAAAGGGCGATCTTTTCAGAACGGTTTGAACGATAACCGTTCTTTGTGTACGTCCTTTCATGTGTTCACGGCTGCTATCTTCAAAGGAAGAATCGACAACATTCAACACTAATTTTATTACCGCTATAAACTGAATTTCAAGCTAATTGAGCCGAATGCCCTGATTGAGTTTAGCCGTAAAGAACTGAGTTTTTTCGCTAACTCTAATGAATACAACGGAAAGTTTAATTAAAAATTTCTTTTTAAAATTAAAGAAAACAAAGAAAATTTTAATAATGGTAGCAATCAACGCGTTATTGTTCAGTCTCTTGTAATATTTAGGGATTTGCTGTGGGATTAAGAGGAATAAAATGTTTCGTTTTAGATTCGTCAGTTCAAATAAGCACTTAAATGAATCATTTTGTTATGTATTTTGTGAAATGATTTTTAAAACAAATATATAGAACAAAACTAATTTTTCTAGAAAGGTTGGTTTTTATAATTTTAGATTAATTAGCAAGCCGTGTTTTGGGGGTAAAACTTGATACGTGAAAAAGAAATTTGAACGATGTTTTTGTTTATTTTTCGTTCTGGAAAAACAGCAATTAGGCCTTTAACATTTTCGTCGATTTTCTTCCGGAAGAAACGCGAATGTATCTCCGAGGCCTACTTAAAATCGATTACCAAGACTGCTTAATTGGGAGTATGGCAATTATTGTCGTTTGCAGAAGGAAATTGCCTGTTCACATCTGCCATGAAAATAAAAACAAATTAAGTGAGAACGATAATTGTTCGTGAAAGCGAGTGTAAAGAGTTTACAAATGTAGGTAAGTCGTCGGTTTTCATTTTGTACATTACATTAAAACGAAATAAAAACGTCCATTACCGTAAACACTTTTCTTCAAGCTTTGTAGTAATTGTGTTGCGTCAAGGCAGATCGCGCATTTCTCTGAAAATAAATATTAAAAGCTTTTTTCGCCCTGACCACTTGTCAATGTTGAAATTTTAAATGAAATGGGGTTCCAATGACACTTGAAATTCCCCGATCAAAGCGCCGATATCCTGTGAACAAAATCAGACAAAATTATTTGGTAGTGGTAATAAAACTGAAATATATTTTAGAAAGAACCGAATTAAACATTTGAATTTTGCATACAATTATTTTCGATGTCGATAACTTCAGAAGAATTACAAATTTTTTCTTTTTTACTTTGTAAATTGCGGCAAAACTTTACCTCAAACGCATATGTACTTAATATGTTCCGAGAAATCGCAAAATTCTTGATCGTTGAAAAGTTATGGTTGAATTAATATTTTGGATATTTTTCACCTTATTAGCAATTTTGTCGATAACTATTTGATGTAGGACATACAATTACCTATCTTTTTTTCATATAATAAAAAATTAAATTTGTTTTCCAACAGAATCAAACAAAAAGTAGTAGCGTCAATAATTCCAAAGTTCTGGGTACCGAAAATCGACCAAAATTTCGAAAAAAAAAAACGAAAAAATTAAAAACTTTAAAATTGAACCATTTCGACTCTTGGGGATTAATGACATTTAGAAAAATACGAAAACGTTGTAAAAACACACAGGTTAGTTTTCAGAAAATTGAGTTCCTGTTAAGTTATCAAGGCGAAGGGTACCACTGGATGAAACTTGAATGAGTGCCTTCCGTAAATTCGTATTTTAATATACCCATTATTGTGTTGGTATTTTAATTACTTCTGTTTTTCATTATTTTAATGTCAAAATTGACAAATTGTAAATGTGCTTGCTATGATTTCATGTTTATTACAAAAAATCTTTGAAATCTAAGTGACTTATGAAAATGTAATGTTGGTTGCATCGAGAATTTGGTCAGGCTCATTATTTCTCGTAAATCACCCTGTATTGAATTAAAATATTGAGACTGTCAGCGGCGGTGGTGGCTCAGCGGCATAAGGTCCCGCTTTCCAGCAAGTAGGTCCGGGTCCGATCCCCGGTAAAGTCAGCAATTTTTCACAAATTCTAATTCAAATACTAACTTAAATAAGCATTAAAAGATGGCGGGCTCATAAGTGCCCGAAATTTTTTACCTCCCCCTAAACTCTATCTCTCGCTGCGCCACTGATACAGGTCGATCTAATTTTCATTTCGTTATGAGAGATTGTTTGCTTTGAATAGAAATGTTGAAATTAATTTAAAAGTTTACCTGTTTATTTTACAAGCAAAATTGAAAATTGAGAACATTTTCGTGTAATTGCGAGATAACTGCGAATAATAAATTGAGTTTTTATGAAATGGACTAGTTTTTGTTATTTCATTTTCGTAAAGCTTTGGAGAGGGATTGAAACTTGAAATCGCCCGGTTTGCTAAAGCGCTTAACAAAAATGACGAATTGTTTTGTAAATTGGATATTTTTGACAGATTTTTCGTTTTGTTTCAGAAAATCGCCTCAACGAGTTCATTCGCCACTACGAGCCTCTCTCGTACGACACCTCCGACGTGCATCGAGCCCATATCCGTGCTCGCCGTTCTGTCAGTCGTGATAATCTCATCCACGTGTCGTTTCGGGCTCACAACCGTGATTTCCATCTAAGACTGAAAAGAGACCTTGATGTGTTCAGCGATTCGATGGAAGTTCACGGTCCTGAAGGCCGGATAGACGTCGATACGTCGCACATCTACAAAGGCCATCTTTTAGGTGGGTTTCCACCCCTCGTGGGGATTATCTCGTTTGTATGGAATGCGGGTATCCAGGTCGATAGGAAATTACCACAATAATTGTTGCCTAATGGCGAATTGTGCAATACGGCCTTTGATGTGTCGCATTTTAATTAATCGACTTGTTAATGACCGGATTTGGTGCCACTTGAAACTTTTTTGCAACAGACGTTTAAATTCGGGGAAAAGTTTTACAGGATGATTGATAGCTTCTGGTCGAGTTTTTCTTTTATCTACAATTGATTAATGTGTTTTCTGGGCAATATTTCCAACAATTGAACAATTTATTAATTTGGCTTGGAAATAAAACTCATTTATATTCGAGACGGTAAACAATAATTTCGATTTTGGTTCGCAGGTGAGCCGGAAAGTTCTGTCTTTGGTTCGTTAATTGATGGAGTCTTCGAAGGGAAGATCGTTTCACCTAAAGGCTCTTTTTACGTTGAGAAGGCTCGACATTATTTTCCTCATACCACACATCCAAATAGAACATTCCATTCGGTCATTTACCACGAGGATCACGTAGAAGATCCATACGAACATGTTAGAGAGGGTAAGTTTTGCTTACTTCGGATTTTGTTTGTCACAAATAATATGATTTGGGACGCGAGAATCGATCGGGCCAGACTGGGAACGACAGGTCGGAAATAACAGATCTAATTTACTCAACGCGAAAAACTTTTTTTTGCTTTAAATTGGCTTAGACACTTTAACTTATATTGTCTTTATTTCAAATGTAACTTTAAAATTTTATGCCACCAGATATGCAGGATGTTCCGGTTAAACCCCACATTAGAAGTATTGGGAGTTTTAACAGTGATATTTATCTAAAATTTTGATTATAGCTATAATCGTTTAGATCCTGCTCAATGAAAATTTTTTCACGATAGTAACACTTTGGGTTACACCGAAAATGGTTATCAACTTCGTTATTTTAAATAGAAAGTTATGTTTTTTACTGCGTTTTTGCAATTACTCAAGTGATTTTGAGAGAGTTTTTATCAGGCCCCCCTATAGGTATAGGGAGGTAAAATTAACCGTTTTTGAAACATTTAGACTTTTTTGAATCTTTTAATTTGCAATTTTTTCTCCAAAAATCGATAACTCTACCATTTTTAATTATTTTAAAATCGTATTTGGGCATATGAAAAAGAAAGATTAGAGCTTTTCTTTCGTGTATTTATAATTGGTAAAATAACTAACAAACCTCCAAATTTTAAGGTTACGTTTGGGAAATTTCCAATATCCGTAAGTGAATTTTTTTTAAATGGAATGTCCAATTTTTTTTTTTTTTTGACTAAATGAAAGATAATTTAATTCTGTATCGATCTGTATCAACATTCCGTAAACCTAAATTTACTGATTTCTAAGTTATTTTAACTTTTTTTTACAATGGAAGAAATTCATTATCATCCATGGTAGTTTTCGTATAGTTTGTCATGGAATTATTTCTCCCTAAAAAAACGCCAAGCTTTTTTCATAAATGAGTTATGTTTCTCGTAAATACAAATTATGTTTATTTAATCTAAATTTGAATAACTTTGATATTCTATTTTTTTCTTATTTCTATGACAACCTATGTTGAAGTAGCTATGGCTAATGAATTTCTCACAATATCAAAAGAAGTTACTATAACTTGAAAACCATCAAACATAGGTAAAGGGAAGTTAATACAGATCGTAGCAAAACTAAATTCTCCGCCTTCTAGGAAAGAAAAAATTGGGGTGTTTAATTAAGAAAAATTAAGTTAAGGGTATTTGAAGTTTCCTAAACGTAACCTTACATTTTGACGGTTTGTTAATTATTTTTCCAATTGTGAATACACTAAAAAAAAGATCTAACCTTTCTCTCTCGTATACCCAAATACGGTTTCAACATAATAAAAAATGGTCGAGTTATCGATTTTTGAATAGGAAGATTCAAATCCAAAAAAATTTAAAAAGGTCTAAATATTTCGAAAACGATTAAACTTAGGTATAGGAAACGCTAACAAAAACTTATTCAAAATCACTTGAATAATCCAAAAACGCAATAAACAGCATAACTTCCTATTTAAAATAACGAAGTTGATATACACTTCCGGTGTAACAGGAAATGCCGTCATTTTAAAAATATTTTTATTGAGCAGAACCTAACCGATTATGGTTATAAACAAAATTTTAGATAAATATCATTGTTAGACCTCCCAATATTTCTAATGTGGGGTTTAGCCAGAACAGCCTGTAGGATATTGCAGTTAGGCTATGTGCTGTGTTTTCGTGAGTATGTCTGAAATAGCTAATATCGTGTCGTAGCAGCACAATCATATAATAGCTCTCCAATTTAGCTTTACGGCATAAAGGGGTCCTTCCATTAGAGGAGTGTTCCGCTCGAGAGAAGGGTATATTGCTAAAGTTGCACCGATTTTATTAATTGTGGGGGTATGGTCAGACTTCGGAAGCCTTTGTCTCCGTCAATTCAACTGTGCGAGCTTAAGATTACCCATTGGAAAAATGTTTAATTGAGATCCGGACCCGGCAAATAGCCAATTAAGTCGACTTGGTAGTGTAGCGAGTGAAAATCTTATTTTAATGTAAATTCTCGCCATTTCGGCAAATTATTAATTGTTTCGTTATAATTAATGAAATTTTCACTTGGTGTTGATGGAAGCGAGTTTTTCGTTTTCATTCTCCGTAGTTCTGATTTATTAATAGCCTGGAAGGGATTGTTTTACATGTGTCTGCAGCCTTTGAGTAAATAACGAATTTAACTTCAAAGCTTAGGGAATTGCAGTAAGTCGACATTAATAATGCAACAGTTACGTACGCTGGTTGAATTTTGTTCAAGAGTACGAGGCACTTTATACAACGTATGAGTATTAGAGATAATACTTTGAAGTTCTTATTCACATAATTGAAAGAATTGGAAATTAATTTGCAATGATTGCACAAAGTTGGGTAAGTTAGCATCAAAGGCATTCACAACTTATTTAGAAACTTTTAAATGAAAATAAATATATTTGAAACCGACATGAACATATTTTTTACGTTCAAAGTTCCGAAATGTAATAATTGAATAGCGAAATTTCTCTATGGACCTGTCGTTATTAATTGAATTTTTGTTTACATACTTGACGTGTGAAATGGATTTTTTCAATTATGTGTACAGTGGCGGAAATAGTAAAAAAGCACGAATATACAATAAATCAATTTTTACTTTTTTACCAGTTCTGTAATCCTGCTATAAAAATTTATTAATATTTTAGTAAAATCCGATGATTTCGCAGAACTGTTTAGTATAAAATTACATTTAAAACCGATAAAAATTTTAATTCTACGTGAATGTTATTGAAAATTAACTTTTTTTGAATGCATTTTCTAAATCTATGATCATTTCTTGCACGAGTGTTACCTAATCTTACACAAATTTCTAGTTTTCTTTTTTCTGAACAAGACGACTAACATCTGTGTAAAATTACTAGTACATGTAACGAAAATTACATTAAACGCATATTAATAAGTAAGTACGCAAATAGGTATAGACTATTAAGCATCATTTTCACATTTGGACATTGGATTTAAATTTACATTCATTTGGTAATTGACGTAAAATTACACAAATATTTTTTTTGAGTTTTACGTTTTAAGTAATTGCTGCAACAAATAGACGCATATGTAAAGTGAGTTTACATTTCTAATTACCAGAAAGTAGACTGCAATTGTATACTTCAATTTGTATACTTCATCTTAAACCTGTTTGTAGAGGAAAAATATTAGAATTTTAATAATATAATACACAATACAATGAAAATACACATAGAAATGTTTTAATGTTTTACTGTCACTCTTTACTTTTTTACTAGATAATGGAATTTTACACTCATTCTGTGATAAAACATTACCTGTTTTCGTTAAATGACAGTTAATTTGCGTTTTTAATTTTATCTAATTATTTTTTATTTATTTTTATAACTGTACGTCATTGTATATTTTTATTTACTTGATCTATATTGCCCTTATGGGTTTTTATAATCTCTGTTTTTGCAATAAACAGTATTATTATAAGAAGAAACCGATGCACAAATCTAGGAAATCTAAAAAATATCTCTCTTGAAGATAAAAATGTTTCGTTCTGTTTCTTATGTAGTTTTCTATAAATTGAGGATAATTTTAGAGCAATATTTAGTGCAAAATGACCACCGACAAAAATTGAAATTGTATATATGTAATTTATTGTTTTTAAATTTTTTATCTTTAGATTTTTGTCAGAAAGTGTTAAATCGCATATGAGCATTAATTTCTAATATTACGATAATTTGCAGAGGAAAAGGAGATTTACACTTCCCAAAATTAAATACATATCATTTTAAATTACAATGTAAAAAGAAGAAATAGTTTAGAAAGCCAATTTGCATCGAATGTGAATTTACCTATGAAGGTATTTATTTACATAGTAAGATGATACATTAAAACAAATGTAAAATTATAAACCACAATATAATAAAATGGATTTAGAAATGCTTTCTAGTAATCTGCAGCCTTGGTCTGTAGGCTGAATGTAAACAATATTTTCTTGAAAATATGATTTAAAGGATACAACAATAAAAAATCTGGTGTGAACATCACACGACTTTTCTTATCCTCCTTATTTAGAAAACATCCTTACGACAATAATTTAGTGTTGCAAATACGAGTAGCAAACCTAACGTTTGCGTTAGTGCCATGCGAAATAGATCATAGGGGGTCGCGGGTTCGAGTCTGAGGTGCAATTTTTCCATAAATTTATTGTATCTTTAACCGTATAATTTTGCGGTCACTTTACGGTCGATTTTTGGTCTTTGCGGCCGAACGGTGCGACCGATTTTTACCAAATGTTTTGTGCTGCTTATAGGATAAGGAAAGTAAAAAAGGGATTTTTACAGAACCGTGTTATTGGTAATGCACTTTTACATTTAAATTTTGTAATAGTTTGTAATATTTACTTAAAAAAACACAAGTCATTTTAGTTTGTTCTTGGAAATTAAAGTTTTGCTATACTTGTTTTTGAATAATTAATTACCAAAAAATACTTTTGTGTAATTTGACATTTCCTTTCATACATGAAACTTTATAATACAGTAGTTTCAAGATAGAAACATAACAGAAGAAGCATTTTCACTTGTTGAAAATTTAATGGAATCGAAATATCCTCCGTTACATGTCGGAAGGCGTTTCTGTGATAATTTCGCCTTGATAAAATTGTTTCCGTGTCATTTCGGAGCTATTGAACCCACTTTCATCCACAATCTGCAGACACATTTCCATACATACTTTTTGTATGTAAATGAATCTCACTGTAATTAATTAACACCCCGCCTTAAGACACGACATGAAATATTTTTACGTGTTTTAGACACATCTCGAATGAGTCATTCGACGACCCAGAAAAATTTCTTTGTCTAGTTTATGCATATTCATAAATGGAATTAGGTCAAAAAATTGTCCCTTTTGTTTCAGGTCATTCAGCTGGATGTGGTATCACCGACGAGGTGATCCAGTGGATGGATCGGGTACAGAATTCGGGGGTGGACGATGAATCACCGCCGCCACCACCACCACCGCCCAAAGAGACATTCCGAAAACGTAAGAAAGTCGCCGATGGTGATAAAGTTCAATTCAAGTCCGTCGAAAATTACGAAGACAAGATCAGCAAGTATTCGAAAGAGGCGAACGAAGATCACGCGAGACATAAAAGGGCAACGCGAAGAGACGAAAACAAGAACACTTGTTCGTTGTACATCCAGACGGATCCACTCATCTGGAGGCACATCAGGGAGGGCTTTCCAGAGGTAAAAATCAATTTCGTTGCGAGATTGAGGAAGTTTTAATGACGTTTGAGGTAATGTGAGGACGAATTGTGACGAGTTGTTTCAATGGTGGTGTGAATTCTAAGGAATTTAGTTTCGCTTCAACGATCAGACGAAAGTTGGAGGCACTTTGTCACTAAGTAAATTACCGAATTTTTTTTTTAACCGTTTTTAGAGGTTTTGAGTAAATGAGTTGAAACTTTTATTATGTTTATGTCAATTATGGGTATAAAAGTATTGATTTTATTTGCATTTGTGATGTTTAATTAAAATGTAAAATGAAATAATTATTACATTTTAATTGTTTATTTAACATTTGGCTGATGTTTTGATTACATTAAATATGCCAAAGCTATCATTGCTTAAAATAAATTAATATTAAATGGTGCATTTTTCAATTTCGATTTTTTTTATAAGGCACTATTTTTTTAATATTGAATTGATTTTATTTGGGTTTTATCGTAATTGCAAATAGCACTTAATTTTTTTCAATAAACAACTCGTTAAAGTTTAATTATACTGATAATAAAACTACAACACCTATAAAATGTAAATATTTTCGTTTACATTACATTTCGATAATTTCAAATATTTTTGCTAAATTAATTTGATTTTGTATTTCCCTTAAATCGGCTCAATTTTTTTCAAAAATATTTGAGACGCTCAGAAAACTAGAACTTTCGTACGCACAGGAAATGCATTTGTCTATTTTTTTTTTTTGAACACAGTTTATTTTTATTTTCATTTTTATAAAATACTTTGAATTTACATCCGATTTTATTTTTGATTTTTTAATTTGTCAGTTTTTCGGAGATGATATTATACTCAGCGACACTAAAATTCTACATACCTGTACGATTTTCAAATTCGTGTAAAGATGGTTTAAGGGGCAAAGGGAAATAAAGCCATTAAATTCGTCGCGTTATTGGAAGAACTCTTCCTTGACTGTGCCATGCTTCCCACGCTCAACCAACAAGAATTCTTCGCCTGAAGAAGATACAATAAAAGTGTCGAAACGTCGCGACGAATTTAATGGTTTTATTTCCCTTTGTCAATCAAACCATCTTCTACGTAATCAGGTTATTTCAAGGACAAGAAACACAAAAATGGAGAGTTTTTATTTAATTAATGTGAATTAGGATAAATTTTTACAACTTATGGAGTTTCATAAAATCTTTTGAGAATATTGTTTTTGTTGATTATTAATAGTTTTATTTTTTCCTCGATTTTTTCATTATCTTAACTTTTTATAAAGTGTCAATCTACATACACCCATTGACACTAAAACTGACCATGACGCGGTAGGGTACGATAAAAACGATGCAAAACCAGTGTTAAAAGGACTAAAGGTGCATTTCTGTGATATTTGCATAAAAAATAAATGATTTTTCCAAATAAAGTATAAGTGATTGAGTCCCACACGAAAGACTATCTAACAATAATTGTCCCTACAAAAAAAAAACCTTTTAAAAGAATAAAACCATTATGAATCCGATATTATTTTGAAAGTCCAGAATATCATTTTTTATAGAGAATGTCCCAGAACTTGCGCCAGAGAGAAATAGTTTACCAAAAAGTGCAAAGAAAGAATTTACTTTTGCTTGCATAACAAAGTAGTAAGACTTTTTAAATATACAAATCACAGTGTAAGATTCCCACACCTAATTTCCACAAAACATTTGCGAATTTGATAGGATTTGATCACTGTTTCTAATTAGTAATTACTTTCCTAAATTTCGTAAAAGTGTTTAAATATGTAACTTTGCAGAAATTTTTAAAACTTCTTTTATTTTTTATTTTTTGATATATTTTTTTTAATTTATAAAAATATTTTAGTTTTTTTTAATTAGAAATTTTAATTTTACACAATTTGATTTGTAATTTATTCACTCGCGGTTCAATTAAATATTACAATAACAATCTTCTTGGCTACAGACGTCAGGAAATCTGTCGGATGTACATTCGAGGTACCTCGAATCGCATTTGACTGCATAAATTATTATCACCCTCCATGCACCGATGAATAATCCAACCTGTCCAATCCTCATGATCATGAACAAACAATAGCTACTGTATCCTTGAATATTCATAAGGAATTTTTTCGGCCCAAAAATCCTCATCACACACCATACATGTAATGTATATGTAATAAGATGATCATATTCAATTGGATTAGGTTGTAAACTAATTAGTGGATCACCATTGGAATTAATTTCGTAGGTGTACTCTACAACACATATTATCCATCCATGTTAGTACACCCCGAATTTAATTTATTAAAGCAATAAATTTCCGTTTTGGACCTGTCAGCTTATCACATTTCAACGACATTGCGTTCGAAATTAATTAACCGCGATATTTATTGCTCACTGTTTCAAAAAAAAAACATTTTTCTAGCATTCTGACCCGAAAAAGGAAAACGAAGTCAACGAAAAGACACGAGAAGAAATCTTGTCATTAATCGCACATCACGTCACTGCCGTTAATTATATTTATCGTGATACGAAATTTGATGGGAGAAGCGAACATCGTAATATCAAATTTGAAGTTCAAAGGATTAAGGTAAGGAGTCGGTATTGTTATTTTTGTAACGTATTTGCTTGGGGCCAGGGATAGACGAGGAAGAAGCTTTTGTCACTAAATAGGCTTTTGAGTTTTGAGTGTTTCAGACGCACAGTAAATGGCGCTTGATGACGCTTGGAAGGAACTCGAGAGCTAAAATTGAAGCTGAGATTAGTTCGGATAATTATAGTGGCAATTTTTATTTTTTTAAGTGCGGGGTTAATTTTTGGCGTTAAAACAACGCAGGAAATGCTTAGGGGGGGTTTCGGAATCATTCTTAAGCTTACACTTATAGTAATTTAGCCAAAAGCTTAAAATTTCAAAGTGATTTTTTTCATTTTGTTTCTCTCGTTTTTTCTGAAAATTAATTCTCACGAGAAATGTTTTCTTAAAAAGTAATTTTAATACAACTATTTCAGTTTTGGAAACATTTTTTTTAGTAAGTAACAATCAGGTTTCTGTTCATAACTTTGTCAAAAAATTATTTTAAAACAAAATTAAAATAAAACAAAAAACAGTTGCAAGTAGTCGCAGTTGCAGTTGTCATTATAAGCTGATTTTAAGTGAAAAACGTGAAAATTTTAAATGGATTTTACATACATCTTGAAGTTTGGCCATATTTTATATTAACAACTCATACATATGTATGATGATACAATATTCTATGAATAAATATTTTGTTCTTAATTTTTTCTAAACCTACAGATACATGTTTTTTTCTGAAACGTTGTTGACTTTGTCATAGCAGAAATTTAATATCAAAAGCATTTTAATTTTATACATTAAGTCTTAAAATTAAAAATTGAATAAAGATTAAAAGTGTTTTCTAAAATTTTCAAAAAAAACCTGTAAGTTTAATCATCCTATACAATACGTACTATAGAAATTTGTGGAAAATTATTTTTGTTATTTAAATCAAAATCCTAATAGTTCGTGGAAAAAGTTTGGGCCTGTATATTGTGTACAGTCTGTTCCGGAAATAATTGAAAAAAAAAACAACTTTTTTCGTTCTAAAAATTGTTGAGCTATACAGGGCGATTTAGAAAAGATAATGAACCTGACGATCTGGCGATGCAACTCAAAAAACAAATTTCATTTACGTATTTGAACCTATTTAGATTAGGATTTGCAAGTTGAATCTAAGTTATCATCTTATGTCACTCTGACATCAACGCAGAGAACCATCATTAGTACCATTCAGTTCTATCGGAATGATAGACATTAGAGAAGTCTTTTCGTTGTAAACTCAATACAAAATGTATGAAAGAATGAAACATTAAAGGTAAGCAAACAGTTTTTTTTTATAAACCATAAAATGCTTGTCAGAGTAACATAAGATAACTTGGATTACAAATGCAAATCGGAATTAAAATTAGATCAGGACGTAAATGAAATTTGTTTTTTGGGTTCCATCGCCAGAACGTCGGGCTCACATCTTATCTGAATCACCCTGTATTTCACAATTGTTACATTAATACAATACAGTGAGTGGCAAAATTATGGAATAATCTTATTAAAACTGAAAATATTTTCAACTTGATTTAAAGTTTTACATTTTTTGGTTTTTGAGTAATGACTGCATCGCCATTTTTTTATGGAAACCCCTAATTTTTTTAGCCTTTTTGATAGATACTTTAATTGTCGAAATGACAACACCAAAATATTAAATATTACATCAAGTTTTCGAAAAAAAAATCGTTACAAAAGTGAAATAATATCAACAAAACACAAACATACAATTTATGTTGAGAATTTGGTATTTTTAAAACGAAAATTGACCTGTTCGAGTATTTTTGTCAAAACAAAATATTTATAATACTCGTGGTATTATAACTGATTATTTCATAATTTTGCGCTTACTGTATATTTGCTTTGCAATATTTCAAACGAACCAACATAAACATTATTGAATTACCCTGCATGGTGTAATTTAAATTTTTTTGTCACAACACCAGAGACAACTCCAGTTTTGGAGCTTTTTGTTGTACAGTCTGTCCTGGAAGACTAGATAATTTAGTTTTTTTGAGTTTTGAATCGATTTCGTGTATTCTGTTGAAAAATTGTCACTATACAGCGTGCGCCAGAACTCGCGCCCTATAGAAAAATGCCATGTGTGGTAAGATACCAGGAATATGGAAAAACTGTTAAAATTCTATCTGTAAAAATTTCGAAGTTATGAGAGTTTAAATTTTGCACTTTGACTTTATTTATTCTTATTGGAAAAATAATTTTCCAAGTTTTTTTGCTACAGTCTATTAGATGAGTAAACAAGGAAGCTATATCCTAAATTGTAACTTTGTTTAATGTTATTTGTGGCTTTTATTGGCAAAATTTTTGTACCTTTACTAAATAATTATAAAAAAAACATACAAGATTATCAGTATCATGAAATAGACATAAAAAATGTCAAATGTCAAAATTTTTTAAACATTTTTTCATTGTTCCTGGTATCTTATCTTACTTTGCGAGTTTTGACACCCTGTACTAATCTTCACACGCAATAGAGTTTCTTGCTTAGCGTATTTGTTGTGTACACAATCTCGATCGAATCGAAGTCGGTTGAAAGGAAATTTTTACTGTAGCTCGGCACTCAAGATTTTATAGCAAAAAAACTTTATCAAATAAATTTCCACTACAAGCTGAAGTTAAACACGGAATTGTGACTCGTATATCACGATATTGTATTTCGAGTTTTTTCACTCGTATCTTGAAACTAATTGGAGTAGTTGTTTCATATGTCTGTAGTTTTTTACACCCTTATAAGAGATTCAATTTGGTCTCTCAGTACTTTAAAATAACGAAAGTTTCAATTAATATTTTCAGATCGACGATTATTCTTCCTGTAGCTGCAAGCGATGTCCCGAAATGAATCAATTTTGTTTAGAAAACATCGACGTTAGTAATTTCCTAAATATCCATTCGTTGGGTAATCACGAGGACTTTTGTCTGGCTTATGTCTTCACGTATCGGGATTTCACGGGAGGTACTCTGGGTCTGGCTTGGGTCGCAAGTGCGTCGGGGGCTTCCGGAGGTATCTGCGAGAGATACAAGACTTACACTGAAACAATAGGAGGCATGTATCAGTCAACGAAGCGCTCCTTAAACACAGGGATCATCACTTTCGTCAACTATAATAGCAGAGTGCCCCCTAAAGTGTCCCAACTGACTCTAGCGCACGAAATCGGCCACAATTTTGGCTCTCCTGTAAGCAACTTTATGCTAAAAATATACGAAAATTATAATTTTTTGTTTATTAGCATGACTATCCGCCCGAGTGCCGTCCCGGGGGCCTCAACGGCAACTTCATAATGTTTGCCTCGGCAACAAGCGGCGACCGCCCCAACAACAGCAAATTTTCAAGTTGTAGCGTTGGCAACATCTCTAATGTTTTAGACGCCATCGAAGACAATAAAAAACGCAATTGTTTCACAGCTTCAGCTGGTGCTTTCTGTGGCAATAAAATCGTAGAAGCAGGAGAAGAGTGTGATTGTGGTTACGACGACAACGAGTGTCAAGACAAATGTTGTTATCCTCGTCTTGTCAGCAATCAAGATAAACAAGAGAATGCATCGGCGAAAGGCTGTCACCGGCGACGTGGTACCCAATGCAGGTAAGTCCAATTACAGCTTTCTGTAATTTTGTGTAATTTTTGCTTAGTCCTAGTCAAGGGCCGTGCTGTAGTGGCGACACCTGTCGCTTTGTCCCTCTCTACTTCGGCGAGGTTTGCAAGACCGAATCGGATTGTTCGATGTCGTCGAAATGTGATGGAAAGTCGGCTGAGTGTCCTCAGCCCCAGCCTCGGCCTGATAAAACTCGGTGCAATAATGGAACACAGTTGTGTATTAAGGGGGAGTGTTCAGGGTCTATTTGTCTTGAATGGAACTTACAAGCTTGTTCGATTACCTCACAAGGTAATCCAAATATCGATAAAAGAAAATTGTGCGAGTTGGCTTGTCAAAACGGAACAGATGTGTGCCGAAGTACGAGCGAATTTGCTGAAAAAGTCGGGCTTCCACCAGGTGGGATCAGTTTAAGGCCGGGAGCACCGTGCGATAATTTTCAGGTGAGTTGATAACTAGGGGATTAGGTGGGAAGGATACGATCTTGGTTGGGTGATTTAGGGGATTTCGACAAAGATGAGTAAATTGAGGTCGAGGGTGGAGTTGGAATAAGACGACTCTCAAATGTTTTAAGCATTCTTGCTCAATTTTTAATCACTCGAAATGATTATTTGACGTAACGTCACTGAATTGATTAATGGATAATTACCCGTAAAATATCTTGAAGTTGTGAGAAATTTGTTGTTTTTATTTCCATGAAATGACGATACTGTAATAGATCATAAATTTTCTCGAACTACTTACTAGCTTACTTTTGAAGTATCAGTTTTATATTGTGATTATATTACTCACACGGTTAGAAAAAAATAATCATCGGCTGACATAATAAAACTGAATTTAGTTTCTTACATGGCTTTTTTCATTATAATTATTCCGTGCCAATAATATAGTATACTATTGTCGATAGTTAGTCTGTGATTTGGAAAATAACGGAATAATATTCTATATCATTATAATTTTTTTTGTTTCTTATCTTGTAACATAATGACGTTTTTAGTAATTTTTATGTTTTTTACAATGTCCAATTACTGTTGACACAATGTTTAGGAAATTGAAGAAAAAATTATCCGCAAACGTCACAAAAGTGCCCACTTTTATGTCTATAAATATCACAAGTAAAAGTGTTACCTTTCAGCCATGGAGTAAAAATTCTATTTTTGCAACTAAATGTTTTTACTTTTTCTATAACTTCATTGATATTTTATCATTGTTCTTTCTTTCTTGTCTCTTTCGCTACTTTAGTAATTTCTAGAGAGATACATTGTAGATCATCATCAACACTAACTGTACTACTTAAATTAATAAACACCTTCGGAAATTTCAACACAAATTCCAATACTAACACTGGATGTTTGTTTATAAGCTTTGTTATGATTTCATTGCTTGCAAAGCGTCCTGATTATTTTGTTCATTTACTTGCTAATTATAGTATTGCTTTTTACTCACGATCTGAATGCGTTTGCGGATAAAATAGTGTATGTTATTCGGAGTAAAAGTGAGTTTATGTAGTTCAGCTGAATTATTTAATAAATAAACGTTCAGCTTAGCTACAAGAACTATCACTTTTAAAAAATTACTATTTTCCAATTTAGACAAATCTTATAAAGCAATGTTTGTCTTACAATACATTTTCACAAATTTGGGAATCAAAGCATATTATCAAATAATAAATGCTGTCACTAACAACAAAACAAATACAATTTTAAAAAAAAAGAATAACTTTGAACAATACTTTTTATTCTAAAACAATTTCGAATATTATTTTATTGTGACATGTAACAAATAATAAACAATCAATAAATAAGTGTTTTTTAATAATAAAATTTGTTAATGATGGGCTGGGTTATTTAACATCAAATAAAACAAAGCACTCATATTTTGTTTTAATGGGAATATTGGGAAAATTATGAAATATTTATTAAACAAAATGGTATCCGATGTGATGCTTTTGTTGTAAATTCAAATGTAAAATTTATTGTATAATGTTATTTACAATATTATTATCTCTGTTAATAAACCCAGATTCGTTTATTAAAAAAAAATAAAGTTTGTTTCTAATTGCCATGGACAAGTGGCCTGTGATTTTAAAATTAAGTTGGCTAAATTGAATAATTTCTGTTTTTCACTGCCACTTTTGATCAGAAATTTATTCAGTGCATGGTATTATTTAAATTTGGTTGTTTATGTTAGTTTTCTTGCGAGGTAAAATTTATTAAATGGAAAATAGAACGATTTTTTCCGTTTTTAGCCACATGTGCGATAGTGGAGAATTAAACTCATTTAAAAGTATCCATTGTCAAATCTCGTCTCATCACAAAATCGAACTATAATTACGTTACCGCAAATACAAAATCGGTTATTCATTTAAAGAGAATTTAACGCGAATGAAATTAATTACATTGCAACGAGTAGTTTAAAATTAAATTACAACACTCATATTTCATTACAGAAAAAAACTAATTAAATACCCCAACTGTATGTAAATTTCTGCGATAAGAACAAATCCTAATCGAATCGCGCCACAAAGCTTCACAAAGTAGTTATGGAAATTATCATTAATGAAGTGATCCAATCCACCAAGTTAAATTGTATTTGCAAAGTTGTGCGAAATTGGGACATTTCTGCCCTCGGAACATCCGAATATGAGTCATTAAACTGTGCGAAAACTATATTATTAAAGGTTTAGTTCTTTTGGTTGCAACAAGCATCGAGGTTTGTTTACAACACGATCTATCGTTACGTGATTAAAGTTACTAACTAGATTAGAATTTTGTTGAAAACAAACGGATACCAACTGCAAAAACACAAGTCAGGCACGGAGCAAAGTTTATGTGACAGTTGAGAATTTTTTACTCTAAAAAGTGGCATAACTGCTTTACTTTTAATGAGAAAGTCAATTTTTTGAATCATTTTTTTTAGTTATTTTAAGTAATACAGTTGGTAATTCACCGGTTTCCATGCCAATCAATTTTGTTTATTTGTTGTTTTTGCAACAACGTTGTATTTAGTGTGTTTGGTATGTTTTTCCGTTGAAATATCATTTTTGCCCAATTTTTGATATTTTTCACGTCACTCTGTATATTACTTTTTAAAATTCCAGGGCTACTGTGACGTTTTCCTCAAATGCCGAGCGGTGGACGCTGACGGCCCCCTAGTCAGATTAATGAATCTCTTGTTGAACAAGGAGACGTTATTGAGCGTCGCCCAATGGATAACGAATTACTGGTGGGCGGTCCTGTTGATGGGCATTGGATTTATCATTTTCATGGGTCTGTTTATTAAATGTTGCGCCGTACACACGCCATCCTCCAATCCGAAGAAACGTCCAGCGAGACGCATTAGCGATACACTTCGCAGACCCATGAACACGCTTCGGCGAATGGTAAGAATGTACCATGACGGGTTGGCGAGTCTGAATCATGGTTTTTGCAGCGACACCACCAGAATGGGGCGCAACATGCGTCACCCCATGGACCTGTAAATAGTCGAAGTCGGAGTGAAAGGTCGACGAGACCCAGTGCTAGTCAAGGGCCCCGGCCGGGCTACGGGGAGGGGAGGGGACACTACGCGCCGAAAGGTAAGGCAGTTTTGGTTCAAGAGCGTAGAATACTAATTTTTGCATGATTATTTCCTCCCACTTGATTAATAGAGTATTCCTCATTAGCGACAGCGCCCCCTTCCGGTTACAACCGTCAAAACCACCCATACGCAGGCGCGTACGACCGTAACGCCTACGAGATGCGTCACAAAGTTTGACAGAACGGTCAAGTCGGGGCAGTTCGGGTGTCTCCGCCGCCCGATTACCCCGGCACACCGATGGCCAACATACATTTCGAGGGTCCCATGGCACAAACGTCGAACAAACATAAGAACACTAGTGTACAGGGTGGCTCAACTTAACAAACTCGTGTTCTGTGATCGATTAGAACCACGAATCAATAAAAAAGTGTGTGTGATATTACGAAACTCGAAATGATTGAAAACGGGTGCATTTATCTATAGTCACCTAGATTTTAAGAATGAGTTTTTATGGTATTAGTTGGCTTCCGATGAAAGGCTGAAACGGATTTGCGATTTTTAATCTGCCAACTCGATTTTTAATTTATTTATTCGCCATTTCTGCACCAAATGATTAGGTTTTAGGTTTACGTACATATCCGAACAAATTTATCGATCAAATTTTTCGATTATGGAGGAATTGAATTTTTTTATTGTGAATTCGGTTTGTCCATAATTTTGTCGATTACATCACAGCTGCGTTTTTGAAAATTGTTGAAATTTCGTGCAGAGATCTCATTTTAAATGATTTGTCCTGAAATTTGCTATTTTAATATAATTAAGGGACACAATTTTACATTTAAAACATTGTTGAATTTCAGGAAATTGTGATACAAATCTAATTTGCTGTTTTGTAATGTCTCAATGGAGAAATCTATATTTGATGCTGAAAATCTGTATTAATGAAATTGTAAAATATTGATATATTATGTAAATATTGGAAAATAATTGTTTTTATATGAAGTATGTATCATATTCTTCACCTTTGTTTTAGAGTAGTGGATTTTACCTATGTCTAGCATTTGTTTGATTTTTTTGACGACGTATAATTGTATCAGATTTTTTATTATGCTAGTAGGTACAATCCAACCTCGATGACCAATAATTGTTGTGCATGTCGCTTAATACATGTACCAAAGTCATTGGATGACTCTATAATACTGTGAATAAATAAATGTGTTATTGTCAAATGTAAAATAAAAACAAAGTCATACATTTTTCACACGAACGGTATTTATTTACCATCAATCCACCAACCCTAATTCCACAATTTGAAAAAAGTTGGCCAGGACGGGTGCCCGCGACCTCTAACGGACGATTACAAAACAACGCCATTAAAATTATGCTATTTTCAGGATAATATTGTTCGTAACCATTTCTGAATTCTGCTATTTTTATTTTTGAATGGAAGGACATGCCACAAGTGGAATCGCCAAAAAGTAAACAACCTTAGGTGAGTAGGGTAGGTAGATTGCTTCAGATATTTAAAATAGTTCGTTTCAGTACAAATAGTGTTTTTTGTGATTAAGTGAACTTTTTTCCAACATGTTTTGTGCCTCACTTTTCTTTAGAAAAGTCAGTGTTTGTAATTAAAGTTACGTTCTTTCAGATTTCTGTTTTTTTTTAATGTAGGTAAACAACTGAATAAGAATACAATTCTAGGGTGGCGTGGGAAAAAGTGGTATTAATAAATAAAAGACAATTTGATATAAAAAATTACAATACATGTAACATATAAATGCGCTGTAATTAAACATAAGGTACTTAAATAATCTTAAACATGAATTGCGTTACGATTGTTGTATCTTCATAGACATTTGTAGTGAAATAAATACTTAACCTAACTGGAATTGGCACTGAATCTAGGCCAACAATTGCTCTTGTTTATACACCGCGTGATAGGCATTCCTGATCAGTGCATAGGGGAAGCAGGACTCTAGCAAATCCATTGTCAGAAACGGCGACTCTTGCACGATTTGATCCAACAACAAATACACACTCTCTCTATTTTTCGTCGCTTCCTTATCAGCCTCCTGTCCCAATCTGAGCAAACTCGAAGAGGCCAACGCTAGAAACTCCTTCATCCGGTCCTCCATATCCCCCTGATTACAAATCGTGAACAACGCCCCGAAAATATGATTCACCGCCAAGGCCATACAATGAATATTATTCGTATGCCCCTCCAGGGACGCTCTATAAAACGACTGTTCTTGCTTGGCCAACTTCGGAATCGACACCGCTACAAACACCATCAGTAGACACGTGATCAAGTGCTCATCACTCTCCACTTCCGGTTTTTGCAACTTGAGAGCGTTGACCAGTGTCGGGTCCACTTTACACGGAATCCCCGCGGCTGAGCACATCTCACTCACGACCTTCAACGGATCACCGCTTGGCAAGTGGTGGCGGAAGTCAAGAATCGAGCTCAGGAGGAACGGGATTCTCTGCTCAAGAACGTCCGTGAGACACGATTGAGCCAACTGGCGGAAACTCAGTATCACTCCAACGATTGTCATCCGTTGGAGGACATTCTCAACACTTGTCAGTTTCTTGAACTGTTCTTTCATCACTTCGGGTTTGTCGAAATTGGTCCGGAGCAACAAAAGAACCTCTTTATTGGCCTCGGCTAGTTTTTTCAACTCGATGACTTGACTGGCGATGTGCCACATCAACGTCTCACTCAATTGTTTCATGCCGTAGGGACCGATCAGCTCGGCGAGGGCTCTGAGCTCGTTAACGTCTGAGTATTCCTCAGGATTGAAGGGAATGGCCGCCTCGGCAGTGAGACAAACGAACGAGCGTTGATTCATCGAGAAGATTATGTTGCCAGCACTGACACGTCGGAGCAACACCTCGGAATACCATTGGGTGTAAATCGCAGCGATTGTTTTCTCGCCGTGACTGTCCATAGGTTGGGTCTGTTGCAAGAGACAATTGTTAAACACTCGGGTTATGTCAATATGGACGTAGTTTTCAACGGTTTGAAGGACATTCATGTATGCACGAACGCTAACCAAAAGCTCGGAAGGTTTAGCGATTTCGTTCGTATCAGCGTTGTACATGACCATGCCGACCAAAGCCCGCGCAAAACGATTCTCCAAATGTTGGTGCAAGTACTCCCTAGGGGCGAAAGTATACTCCCAAACATTTATATTCGAAAAATAGTTAATAGCGTAGCAGAGCTCAGTCAACGCCATGTGTAATTTATCCATAGTCGTCAAATTCTCCCGTGTCTTTCTATAACTCTCCTTGCCTGGCTTCTCAATCTCGATGGTATTCTTCTTATTCTTCTCTTTCTTCTTCCGGTTCATTTGTTGCGAAATTAAGTGGGCACAGTTTTTCGGTAGGAGTTTATCGCTCATTTTACACTGGGCGTCGCAAATAGCCGTAATAATATTCTTCGCTTCTTTTGCCATCTCATCCAAGAAGACGTTGACCACTGAGAGGCTCCTCTCGCGGATGTGGTGACGCTCCTCCGGACACAACTCGTGAGTGCAGTGTTGGAAGTGGGAACAAATCGAGGGAAAAGCGACAATGAAGCGATTCTGAGCCGGAAACTCCAAACACATGTGGAACTGGTCCTCGAAAATCCGGTTGTAAAAACAGAAAATCGACAAATCAGAAGTCTCGACTAACATCTCATCCAAGTTGTCGACCATTTTAGAGTGAAATTGCACATTGTCCAAAAACTGGGCCAACTCCCGATTCTCCATGATCCTCAAGACGGCGTTACCCGTCGACATGTACGCCTGCAAGCGAAACCAATCCAAGCGAAAAGCGAAGAAATTGAACGTTTCGTTATCTTCGACTTGTTTGACCGAAAGACCGGATATGGTGTTACACAAAGAGGATAAAATGATACACTCGTCTTCACCCACCGAACCCAAATTTTTCTGTATCATGTCTTTCAAGACAAGAGCATCGAAATGTGATAAGTATTGAACGTAATATCTTTGCATGACTTGGCTATACTTTCGCACCAAGACTCTTAAATCCTCCATATGGAAGAGCAGTTCTGGTAGGTGTCTATCAACCAAATCCTCGGTGGATTTGCCCTTATTTTTTTGTTGTGGCGGGTTGTCATTGTGTCGCAACAACCATAAAACCTCATCCCTCGCGTAACACAAACCCATGAAAACCATTAGAGCCTTCGGCCCTAAAAGACCAGGCTGGTCCATTAAAATCAATCCCAACTCTTTAAGAGCCGTCCTTAGGAACTTCCTGCGTTCACGGTGCCTATACCCAGCCTTCTGGATCGCTTGACTGTGGCAATCTTTAACTTCCGACACTCTTTTACTATAACCCTTGATGGTATCAAAATAACCACAAATATATTGATGGGTGTAGATAACTTCGTCCCGGAATAACGGCAAGACCCAAGACGATTCAAGCGCGTTTATCCATAATTTATTCAAGTGGTCGTGTTGCAAATTTGGGTGAATTAATAGCAAACCAAAGACAATCCAACGCTCCATCGTGTCGAGTGATAAGTACTCGCAAGACATCCGGTCGGCCATGACCGGTTTTAGGAGCGAAGCAGGGTTGCCAACGAGACTCAATTTCAATTCCGAGCGCCATTTATCGGCTGAGACATTCCTGAGGGTGTAAATGGACGAAAGCGAGTTTAAGGCGCTTAAAAGTAGCTTCGTGTGGGGGACAAACTCCTCACATAGTTTTTTAAACGGAATTTCATACTCCATTATCATATTGCCCAACCGCGGGAAACTCGAATCTGGAGATGAATGTACGATCTCATAAGCCGCATTAAACAGCCCCAAAACGGCCTTCCGGTCCTCAACACGAGACAACAACACCATCAACGACACGTAGGTCGTGACTAAATCAAGGTAGTGTTTGGTGAGTTCAAAGTTCACCGAAATGTCTAACTCGATTTGGAAGGCCCCCATGCAGGTTAATAACTCACAAACGTGGTCTTTGAAGTCAAGCAAATCGACAAAGGTATAGTAATAGAGTGACAAGGATTTGATTATTTCATTCCTGAGGCCTTGAATTGCCGTTAAATTCTTACTGTCGACGTTCGGAAACCGGCGCACGATGCTTTTAATCGAAGATTCCAAATTTTTGTCTGAGAGAAACCCCGGTTTTGATTTGGCGTCTCCGCAGGCTTTTTTGATGTTGTATATACGGGTGAGCATACCAATGCCTCTATCGTTAAGAATAATCAGTTTTTCGGCGATTTTTCGCTCGCTGGGGGCGAGAGGACGGGCCATTTTGATATCAGTTTCCTGTCAATTAGTTAGGGTTATGAAATAGTAAAAAAGGGTGTGAAGCGTACCTTCGGCCCGGATGTAAGTTATTAATTGATGATGACGTGTTATTTCATCGTTTTTTTAGAAAATTAATAATGTTTGGTTTGTTGGTTAGCGAAATGTCAAACAAATGTCAAAAACAAGGCGGTGACGCTAGGGATTTTAGCCTGTTTTTGGTGGCAGTCTGGATCCATTGAAGTGTAAAAACTAAACTGCGCAAACTCAATGAGTTGACTAAAATAGATAATTGTAATAAATCGAACAAATGTTTATTAAATAGAGTTTTTAAAACGCAACATAACAAATTGTTAACACAATTGGTCATAAAAACTGTGATTGATTGTCAAATTGAAAATGGTTAGGTTTTTACAGAACTCTTTTTTCGTAAATGTCTAATTTTTCCCACCATTTTGAATTTATCTGATTAATTTGTTCGTTGTGTTTTTTCTGAATTTGTTCTTGCGTTGTTTTATCTGAAAATGACGTCTCTAATTGTTTACAGTGTTCTAATGTGGATATTGATTTTAGTTTCGTTGAAATTTCATCAATACTTGAACACAGTTTTTTAATTTCTTCCTTTTTCTTCATATTTGATTGTAGTCTCTTCTGAAATAAATTTATTTCTTCTAAAACCTGCTTTACTGGTATTAATGTTTCATCATTCTTTATACTGTTTTAATAAAAAAATTAATAACGTGTCAGTACCTTAAAAGTTGTTTGCTTACTTTTGGTTCTCGTCTGTTTTCATAGCCACTTTGTTCTTCAATAAATATCTCCTGACACATTTCTGTATAATAATAGCTGCTTCGTTTTCTTTCATGGAAAAAGCTTATTTCTTAAATATTTACCCTGGAAAATAAATAACTTTGAAAGTTTAACGTTTTGTTTACCTATAACCCACCTTGTGAGGAAACTTTGTGTAATAATTGACAGTCGTGTTTGTTTTCAAAGGTGTTGCTAAGGAACGTATAAATGATGGCAATGAAGTAACCCAAGTGGCGCCGTAAACTTTTATAATGGAGGTGTGAGTGCTGTTTTCTAACTCCGAAAACAAATAAAGATTAATTCTGACAAAATAAAAAAGGAATTTTGCCAAACTAAATCGATAAATTAATGTTGCAACGTGTTATGCAAATCTAGTAGCCTTATAAATCATTTTATAAAAATCATAAAACACAGGAAAGGAAAAATAAGTTGTCCCTTGACATTTTAATAACTACAATGTTTAAGCTCCCGCTTTTTGTTAGTAAATACAAAGTTACGTATGCATTTTTCTTATCACACTTTTTAGTTGCGGAAAATGTAGGCCAAGATTAAAATGATTTCGCTGGTATATTGTGTTATAAATCTACAAGAAAAAATCTCGAGAATTATAATGACGCAGAAATAAAAATTTTATAACTTTGGCAAGACGCGAACCGTTGAAAATTTTATTGCGGGTTTACAATATATTACATTGTTTTATATCGCTTTTAAGATGGTATACTTGTCATTTAAAAAAAAAACATAAAATAAATTCAAATTTTTTATCACTAGAATGGTGGCGCCATCTGAAACTTAAAATATTTTTTAAATTCTCGTAGAATTAAAAGCCATTCATCACTCTTTTTCACCTAATATTCTAATTGCGGCGGGATTAAAGCCAGAGAAATAATTATAATTTCGAAGAGAGTTTTATCCAACTTTGTGTAATTATTGTCTACTTAAAAGCTCTGCGAATTTTTCACTCAAACTTTTGTGAATTCAATCATTAAACTCCGTCATTACATTCACTTACCGCAGGAGCTATGAAGTAGATCCCTTGGCAAGATTTTAGAATTCGTTATGTTTGTGCATCTTGCCAAGAAGCTTAATTTTTAAACAGCGACTGTTGCATCCGGAAGCTTAGTAATCACTTTTCTACCGGAACGGTCATTATCGTAAGTTGGCGGCGGCGCATTTTAAATTAAAACATGTTGACAGGAAAGTCTTTCTCGAAGGGGAAAATGACATTTTCCGACAAGCCGTGCTCGTAAATGTTGCATAATTTATTAACGGCTGGACTCAGTGTACACACGATGAGATAACAATATTGATTGGACAATGTATACATACATTTATGTGTATATTGCTAGTTCACATTTACCTCAATCTGTCATGTTACGATCATATTTAATTACTATAAATTTCGGCTGAATTGGAAATTTGAATTTCGACGCAATTTGCATACGTCAATAAAATTAACTCAAACTGAGTTACACGAAATTAAAAATAACAGCAAATGGATCAATTATAATCTGAATTGTTCAATCACTTTATAAATATTTAGCAATTTCTACTTTTAAAATACAAAATGTCAATGGAATATTGATACTAGATATTCACCTAAAAATAAAATTAAGAAGCGTAGCCAAATACGTGTAGGAAGTAACACAATCAAAAGATGGCACTGTCAGTCAAAAACTACAGATTATTCTGCTAATTGCTCTATCTGCTTTCTCTATCTGTTTTTTCCTGAAAAATATAAAAAACATTTCCTTGACGGAAAATTTTTTGAATACTGTAAAAGGTGCAAAATTATAACAATAACGACTCAGTCTTAGACAGGCTCCCGTACGAGTTGCTTGAATTGTAATAATTGTCCGAATAAATTACTTATTTCGGGGTTCAATGCGAAATGGTGTGTACGTGTTGGGTATTTTAGAGTGCCTAATAGACATTTAGTAGTGCGCGATTTTTAATATTCTGAGTTATTAGTGAGTGTAAATGGGGGAAATGGAGGGAGCAATCGTGCTACAAGGATCCGAATTAAAGGGTTAGTAAACGATACTTTTTATTTTTTTAAGAAAAACAACATTTAAATTCTATTTAATATTTTCAACTGATTTATTAACACATTGAACTGATTTTGTGTTTCTTTATTTCAGTGGGTCCGTTTTAGAAGCAGAAGCGAATTGCTACAAAAGGTAGCAGAAGAAGATGCCATATAAGGTCTGTCAAGTAAATAAATCTCTTTAAAGATAAGTCTATGATATTATTTTTATTATAATTTAGGAAACTAATTTTGTGTTTTAAAAGTGAGGGACGTTAAAAGATGCATATGTATAAAACGTAGAAGAAATCTTAGTCAATATTCCAGATACTCGACAAAAGCACATAAAATTTGTTGTTTGAATGATAACAAAGAAAAAGCGTATTAGTCTATGTTTAAACATTCATATTGTGAAAAACAACTTTGTATAAAACGTTATTTTCGACATTTTTAAAATCAACGTGAAATTAGTCAAATATTTTATAGTATATTACATAACGAGCACTGAAAGTGATAGATAACGCACAAGCGGGAAAGTTGCGCACGAGGCGTTAGCCGAGTGCAGGCAATCCCGCGAGTGCGTTAGACACTTTCCTGTAAGTTTTGTACACT